ACCTTAATGATGCAAACCGCATCTCTCCATTGCGCTAACAACGATGATGATCCACAAGAGAAGAAAAAACTCCAGAATTCTCCCAATCTTCACTGTCGCAACAACTCGAAGCAGCGTCCAATGGTAAGTTCAAAAATTGATTGGTAGGACTTAATTACCAACATTAATAGCCATGTAAAATGAAGTGGTAATCATGCCAATGTACCAAATATAGCAGATTACCATGAAATAATAATTATTATGAAAGGTAATAAAATAAGATTAGTCCCTAAACTTAATAACAGTAATTAATAATGCCGAATTTTAACTTAATAAATGGCAAAACTGTAATTAAGGGATGCCAAATACTAATCTCAATTTACCACATAATAATTAATCATGACTATTAGGGAGACTGAAGTTAAGGTAATAACTAAATTACCAATTTTACAGACAATATACCAACTATATTGCTTTTGCCATAAAATTAAAGACTTAATATTATTATTAAGGCCCTGAAAAACTATTGATAGATTAAAAATTTAATCAACTTAAACAATAGTTATAGTTCTTAATGGCCAAAATAACAATTAAATCCTTAAATCCTTAATGTCTCTAAACAGGCTGAGACAATAATTATAGCACTTAATCCAAGCAATGGCCCAAATGAATTATAACATGGATGGAAACTGGTCTAGTACTGAAGTAGACCCAAAACTTAATATTATTACCAACGATGAATACCAAAATATGGTAGTTAGTAATAATTAAAACTCAATAAACATGTTATAAGGAGCTATAATTATTATTAAAATATCAATCAAAATGGTGGGATCCATACTTTAGTGACCGAGGATAGGTCTTGAATAGCTTGTTCAAAATAGGTTCTAAAGTCCATGAGACACATAAAACTAAAATGTGCTCAAAATTAAGGAGAAACCAAACAAGCTACCTTAATAGGCCATAATGCTTAAAATTGGCCTAAGGATCTAAAATTGAATGATATTTAATAATGACTTTATGAGTTAATAATATGCTAAATCCAACCTTAATGCATGCTTTTCTAAATGCATAATTAATCAATAAAATGATTATAAATATACAAGCATGCTTGGATTTGTAAATTAATATATTATTAACCCACATGCCCTAAATAAATTGCAATACTTTAGGCAATTTAATATAAACCTTAATATTAAATTAAAATTCAAATAGCAAATTTAAAACTTAATATTTGCTAAAAATAGAATAATAATTTAATTATGAATTCAATGCCAAAATTAAGAACAAACTAAAGGGCATCAATATTTCAAAACAAGCAATTACCATATATTTATCATTTGCCAAATAATATACAATATTAATTAAGGTAATGTAAATATGGCAATATTAAACTAAATTATTACCATTTACCAAAATTAATGTGTATAATATTAAATAAAGCAAATTAAAATTATGGTAAATATAGATAATTGCAATAATGAATTTACTAGCCACTAGGAAGCAAGATGACGTACTGCATTCAATTTCTAAAATTATTGACGTGCAACACATTCTTCCCAAATGTGGAGAACCAAGCAGCAGTCCTGACGCCGTGAACACAAGCAGCAGCAGCCGGAAGAAAACGTGAATGCGGAGAACTAAATCCGCAAGCTCACCGCGTTACCTTTCCGCAGCGCCCAAGAAGCAACTTAGCCACCATCTCTGTCCATGGAAATCGGCGAACAACAAGACTTCCATGGAAGATTCTCACCAGATGAACATAGCGGCAGACCATCCATAATACTCATAGCACAAATTATATCATATACAAAAAACTTGATGTATATAATAACTTAATTTGTTTTAGGCAAAACAATCAACCAGACAGAGATTATAAAAGGCTCTGATATAATTTCAAAATCTGTTTATATAAATTTATAAGTTCAAATTATTGAACATTTGGTTGTACAACATATTTATGAAAATGTTGCAACAATATTAAGGAATTTATTAGAACAAAAGCATTTAACTTGTGGTGCACTGTAATTTAATAAATTCTTCGGTGATTAATAGAGTCTTTAGTTTCTTCAAAATTGATCCTGGGCCATTTTGGTTTGTAAGGCTCAAAACAATTTTGTGAGACATATAAGTAAGACTTCAATGTTCACTTTAAATGAACTGAACATAATGAGTCTTACTTATATGTCTCACAAAATTGTTTTGAGCCTTACAAACCAAAATGGCCCAGGATCAATTTTGAAGAAACTAAAGACTCTATTAATCACCGAAGAATTTATTAAATTACAGTGCACCACAAGTTAAATGCTTTTGTTCTAATAAATTCCTTAATATTGTTGCAACATTTTCATAAATATGTTGTACAACCAAATGTTCAATAATTTGAACTTATGAATTTATATAAACAAATACAAGATTAATACTTGTGGAATATTTTGGACTTATTGTTTAACATACAACCCAATTTGGAATGTATGAATACAATAATTAAATCCAAAAACTTTAGTGAAGTATCTTAATGATCTTTTCCTAAATGATCACTCCCACTGATTAAGATATTCTTCAGCGAAATTAATAAAGTGAACTTAATAACATACATACTCATAATTGATTTATTGACCAACTAACAAATGAAGACATAATTCTCCACCATTAGTTGGACATACTAAATAATCAATTTTTGGTTCCAATTAAAGTCCAACTAAATAATGAAGATATATTTCCCCACCATAGTTGGACATACTAAAATAAACAAAATACATCTTTCAAAACCAAGATAGAATTTGGCTCAAAAGATACATTTTATCATTATTGGAATCCAAGAGGTATGTCAAATCACGTAACTTACTACAGTTAGTCCGAAGAACCGAGCAAGATTCGTGGATTAATTAATAGAAGTGACTAAATTTTGGGAAGTGACTGAATACATGTTTTGCCTATGCAAATCATGAAACTTAGAATTATAATTGAACTGGATTTATAACTCTAAGAAATTGTGATAAAATGTGTATGTCATAGATCAGAACCTATTTGCCTTACACGTGTAAGAGAACATGAAGTTCATTTTGCATAGTTTCCAGTGACCATTATTGTGATCCATTTTTTTGCTGAAACTCTTTATTATTCCACATTCTTGTTTTATCACTCCACTTTATGATTCCATGGTTTGAAAGACCAATAATCTATGATGTTCATGGAAGACCACATTTAGTTGAAAGCACATCATCACGAAGTCGTGACCTTAAGATGGTAAGTCTGTCTTGAAGATTCTCCCTGTTTCTAGTGCTTTAACCATCTTTCTATTGGACTTAGTTTGAATTGGGAACTATACCCTATATTTTATATAAATTAAGCCTCGATTTTTTGGTCGGTTATCGATTTTTTTGAAAAAAACCGATAAACGACCGAAAAACCGAAATAACCGACTTTTTTTGAACTGTATAACCGAAACCAAACCGATAACCGAAAATTTCGGACGGTTTGATTATCGGTGATCAATTTTTCGATGGTCCGGTTATTTTGCTCACCCCTACCTGGAACTATTTATCAGATCAGTTCTTCCCTTGCTTGGCTTAATGCTTCATCTGTTGTTTTACAAGTTTTGAAAGCAATAAGATTGACAAAGTGCATTGTTCTATTGTTCACTAGACAGTCAAGATGAGAGATCTGTTTGGTGGCCTAGGGAAGCCAAGTGGGCTCGTACTCAGAATATTGCAGTGCGTGTCTGTAGCTGCTTCCGCTAGAATAATGGCTTTAGCTTCACACTTTACAAGCTGCATCAGTTTTTGGTATGCTACTATTTCTTTCTTATCCATTTAATTCATCCTTCACCGTTAGCTAATGATATCTATTACATTTTCCCCCCTGCTTACATGCTTTATATATACATACATACATATATATATATATATATATATATATATATATATATATACATATACTGTGTATTTTGTTGTTTCATGATGCTTATTGTGTTTGCCAAGTGCTATACGTAACTGTGTTTAAATTATAATATATATAATTTATATGCAAACCTATTGTGGTATTTTGAGAAACAAATTTGAGTGGAGCTTTTGGTGAATGAAGTTAGTGCCTTACTATATATATATATATATATATATATATATATATATATATATAGTGGCTCTTTAGTTCTTGTTACTCTCTATATCACTCTGATCTGTTTCATGTGCTTGGCACTTGTGATGGGGGTTCTATTTTTCTGGAGTTTAATGCTTTGTTGCTTGAATTTTCATTCCATATTGCTGAGAAGGAGAGTGCGAGTGCATTCTGTTTTCCTTCTGGTCATGATTTGTATTGGTGACGGGGTATTTCAATTCCCTTATTTCTTTTATGCACGCATACATATTAATTACATGTTTGATTCATGAATTTTGAAGCTTATTTATATAATAATATATATAATGCAGGTGATGACTATTCTATCTCTTGGTGTTGCATGTGCATCTGCTGTTGTATTGGATTTTCTATACAAGTATAATAGTTGATATGAGCGGTACATGCCATGCAACATGTATCGTCTTTCAATTTCACTAGCATTTGTCGCTTGCTTCTTTATAGCGATTTCTGCTAATGTTATGTTTAGGCTTGTAGCCTCGTCTTATTAGATATAAGCTGCTACGGTTTGGAGAATCTATGCTTTCTATTGTAAATAGTACTACTAGCAACTGAAGTCTTTCATTTCTCCGTTTCATGATGTTTAGGTGGTCATGTGAATGAAACAGTAAAAATCTCTGATCTTGAATTCAATTAATTGTAGGTTGGTCAGGTTGTGGATTCAAAATGGTTTCATGTTGATTCTAGATTGCTAGGGGACTTAGTATGTTTCATTCATCTACATGCACTTCTTCTGCACTCACTTTTAAAAATAATGATTCAAGTACATGTGGTTTTGCGGTAGAAAAAATTATTTTTAAAAGTGAGTGCAGAAGAAGTGCATTTAGATGAATGAAACATACTAAGTACCTTAGCAATCTAGAATCAACATGAAACCATTTTGAATCCACAACCTGACCAACCTACAATTAATTGAATTCAAGATCAGAGATTTTTAGTGTTTCATTCACATGACCACCTAAACATCATGAAACTTAGAAATGAAAGACTTCAGTTGCTAGTAGTACTATTTACAATAGAAAGCATAGATTCTCCAAACCGTAGCAGCTTATATCTAATAAGACGAGGCTACAAGCCTAAACATAACATTAGCAGAAATCGCTATAAAGAAGCAAGCGACAAATGCTAGTGCAATTGAAAGACGATACATGTTGCATGGCATGTACCGCTCATATCAACTATTATACTTGTATAGAAAATCCAGTACAGCAGCAGATGCACATGCAACACCAAGAGATAGAATAGTCATCACCTGCATTATATATATTATTATATAAATAAGCTTCAAAATTCATGAATCAAACATGTAATTAATATGCATGCGTGCATAAAACAAATAAGCGAATTGAAGTATCCCGTCACCAATACAAATCATGACCAGAAGGAAAACAGAATGCACTCGCACTCTCTTTCTCAACATTATGGAATGAAAATCCAGGCAACAAAGCATTAAACTCCAGAAAAATAGAACCCCAATCACAAGTGCCAAGAACCTGAAACAGAACAGAATGATATAGAGAGTAACAAGAACTAAAGAACCACTATATATATATATATATATATATATATATATATATATATATATATATATATATGTATGTATGTATATGCAGTAAGGCACTAACTTCATTCACCAAAAGCTCCACTCAAACTTGTTTCTCACAATACCACAATAGGTTTGCATAGAAACTATATATTTTATTATTTAAACACAGTTACGTATAGCACTTGGCAAACACAATAAGCATCAATGAAACAACAAAATACACTATATATATATATATATATAAAGCATGTAAGCAAGGGGGGAAAATGTAATAGACATCATTAGCTAAGGGTGAAGGCTGAATTAAATGGATAAGAAAGAAATAGTAGCATACCAAAAACTGATGCAGCTTGTAAAGTGTGAAGCTAATGCCATTACTTCAGCGGAAGCAGCTGCAGACACACACTGCAATATTCTGAGTAAGAGCCCACTTGGCTTCCCTAGGCCACCAAACAGATCTCTCATCTTGACTGTCTAGTGAACAATAGAACAATGCACTTTGTCAATCTTATTGCTTTCAAAACTTGTAAAACAACAGATGAAGCATTAAGCCAAGCAAGGGAAGAACTGATCTGATAAACAGTTCCAGGTAGGGTAGGGGTGAGCAAAATAACCGGACCACCGAAAAACTGATCACTGATAATCAAACCGTCCAAAATTTTCAGTTATCGGTTCGGTTTCGGTTATACAGTTCAAAAAAAGTCAGTTATTTTGGTTTTTCGGTCGGTTATCGGTTTTTTTCAAAAAAATCCATAACCGACCAAAAAACCGAGGCTTAATTTATATAAAATATAGGGTATAGTTTCCAATTCAAACTAAGTCCAATAGAAAGATGGTTAAAGCAATAGAAACAGGGAGAGTCTTCAAGACAGACTTACCATCTGAAGGTCACGACTTCCTGATTATGTGCTTTCAACTAAATGGGGTCTTGCATGAACATCATAGATTATTGGTCTTTTAAACCATGGAATCATAAAGTGGAGTAATAAAACAAGAAAGTGGAGTAATAAAGAGTTTCAAGCAAAAAAATGGATCACAGTAATGGTCACTGGAAACTATGCAAAATGAACTTCATGTTCTCTTACATGTGTAAGGCAAATAGGTTCTGATCTATGGCATACACATATTATCTTGTATTAAATAATCATGATACCCTACACTTGACAGATGTCATGCTTATTATTTTTATACTATTGTTATTGTTGTTGTCAATATAACAAATATTATTAGTTAGCTGATGCATACCACAAGAAAACAATAAAGCAAGAAGTGTTGAAGTGATACACTGATATGAAATACAAAAGAGATTGTAGTACAAATTTGATCCAAAACTAAATAAAAGAGACTTGTAATTTGTATTACTTATCAGAAAACAGACTACAGCAGAGTTCAAATTGATATTTCAACTATATATGTACCTTGTGACTATGACGGTTGAATAACAGAGCAGTCTGTTGATTTAAATATTTTTTGGAAAAGATGATACAAATTCTCCCGGATCTACTGATCGAGTAAGCTGTAGCCTGTCTAATGGTTGGCCAGGCCAGTGACTATTTTGTAACCACACAAGCTATTAGTGGCATTTGGAGCCTATCCAACCACAAAGACTAAATAAGTATTCAACACTTATAGATTAATCCATATGTTTTTTAAGTGTCAATTAAATTTTAAATACCTTTTGAGCTAAATTGTTGAAAGTGTAAAGCAAACATACATTCAATATGTGAACTTCATCTCTTCGAGGCCGGCATGTATTTCTGCATTAATTATGTTATTGAGTCAAGTACTCAGAACATAATCACAAATAAAGCAGTATCATAAGGGAAAAATTAAAACTAACAAAGCATAAGATCCTTTCTCCCAAAATTAATAATAAATTCTCAGAGAAGGTTTTGATTTGTAGATATATGAACATGAAAGAGTTGAGAGATTTGGTTGGTAACTTTGTATAAAAGAGTAGGCATACAAGGATAATCATTGTATCTATGCTTCCATGCCCAAGGAAAACAACTACTAAGATATCAGGGAAAGATGCAATAATGCATGAAAATTATTTATGGCTCTAATTGATCACCTTTAGGAGCTGAACAACTGATCCAGGGTAAGATATGTCTCGACTCGAATCCTGAGGTGCTAGCTGTACGTGTTTGGTGAACTCGATGATGAGGCTCAACATATAAAGAGTTGCCTTACTGAAAAATTAAATGACACGATAGTCCTTTAAGCAATCTTCACACTGATTTTCTCTGATCCCACTCAATACAAGCTACTTTCATATGCAATTCCTTAATTTACCATCATCACACAACATAGGTTCAGTCACAGTATAGACAACAAATTAAAGAACAAACATTTAATTGCAATAAGATCATGGGGTTTCATCAAAACATCAAGCTAAAAACTCCCAGTTAAAAAAAGTACAAGAAGAATTGAACACAGAACACTCACCAAAACAGCAAGAAAATTGAGGAAGTTTTGACCTTTGATTGATTGTGAATCTTAGAGAGCAGTAGAAGAGAATGGGTATGGAGTTTGGTGAAGGGAAAGTGCAAATATAGGAAGAAAAGGTTTCAACCAGGCAACCAGGTAAGGGAGCAATCCTTTTGCTTTGATGAATATGGGGAGATTGAGAAAGAAATCGTGGAACGGTAAAGAGCTTTATCTCTTATATCATCTATGCTACTTGGCTATCACAACTCACCACAATCTCTCATTCCAAAACTATTCACTCGTCTATGGAACTTGGAAACTCTTGTGTTCAATACACCATAAAGGACAGTTGATGTTAAGGCTGAGATATGGAACATGCCAAAGCTATTTAAATAGGTTTAGAAGGCTAGCTAAACCATTACAAAATTAAAATTAAGCTGTTACCTGATCGGATGAAGAACGACTAAGCATAGTTTCATGATCGACTTTGTAGTCGCCTGTTGCCCCTTTTCCCCCATTTTGTGAAGCATAGATTACTGATCTCATTTCTATTTTTGAATACCTCATTTCATTTCAGGTAAAAGGGGACGTGGAAGAGAGACAGATTCCCTCCCAGCTAGTGTTTTTGCTTTAGGTTCACTCTCATTTTTCTTCAGCATTTGGGCAATTTTCTTCATGATGAAGGCTTCATGCCTTCATGATGAAGGCTTCATGCCTTCATGATGAAGTCTTCATCCCAGTCAACATCCACCACCGCCTGCCTCATATCATCTCATGTCTTTAAGAGGCTCTTGCTTTCACAATTCACTCTTTTAACTTATAATAATATAAATATATAGCATCAATCACAATTCAATTGGACAATTAATTTTAATTTCATAAACTTTATTTTGCTATAGATTTAACTTTATAGGAGCTAGTGTATAAGCATTTGGATGTCTGTAGGCCAGTTGAGGTATATCCAAGGGGTTACCAGAAAATTTATGTTAAGGGGCTAGAATTATAGTAAAAATTTACAATGTTAATCAACATTAGTACCGATATGATGGTACATGATATCATACATAATTATACTATGTATTATCGATAATAATTTTTAATCATACTTTATGTAGCGAATGACATTGACGTCAATTGATACTTTATAATTTTCCAAATAACACAAAATATATACAATAGTAATATTGCTTGTCACTCTTTATCAAATAAAAGTTGTCAATTATTTTGTTGACAACATTTTTGTTAACATAATTAACCCATATTCATTTTACACATTAAGTGAATTTACAGCATAGAAATTATGAATCTACCCATGTGTTCACCATTTGCATGGTGAACACGTATCCACAGCATAATGTGCCGAATTTCATAATGTAATCTATGAGGTTTTTGGGTTTAGGGTCCGTATGGAAAACATGAAAATGATTTTTGGAAAATGTGTCATTTTTCAAAAACTATTTATTTTCTAGTGTTTGGTTACATTCTGAACAACTGTCTTGTTGGGTTTGACTCATTTTCTGGAAAATGAGTATAATTGTATAATTAAATATTTTAAATAATTTATTTAGAATATAAAAATATTTACAATAATATTAAAAATAATATTATTTATCAAAAAAATTTAAAAAAAAAATTCTGATTTCCACTGGTAACCGACCATGTTTTGAGTGTTGGCGGAAAATGACTTTCGCAAAATTTTGACGGAAGTCATTTCCGCCAAAATGATTACATTTTTCCGGTCAACAAAAAATGTTTTCTATTAATTGAATTTCCTAATGCATCTCAACACTGAAAACTCAAAAAACATTTTCCAGAAGTCATTTTCCGAGTTTCCAAACGGACATTAAGTTCAATTTTGTGGCTCATGGGTGACATTTTGTTGTGACTTTGGAAGGATTATTATTATAACATAATAGTGGCAAATTATACTGTGCACCAGGGTGCACATTGCATTGTGCGCTCTACAAGTTTATGTGTGTTAGTTTTACGACTTTCTGGTTGTCGGTCGGCTGGCCAACACTAACGTAAAATACTATAAACGAGAGTTTATGATGGAAAAAACGGGTAAAGCAATGGAGAGAATAATGCAATATTATTTCTCTAAGGGTCTGGCCAAATGAGTGCCAAAAGAAGCCTTAAGTCATCGATTTTTCCAAGCCCTTTACACGATGATCCCAGGGGGGTACTTATACAAGAATACGAAAACCCGTACAAGGAAAGTAGGGTTTGGCGTAGAGCCAAAATATACAAGGAAAGTAGGGCTGACGCGTGAGGGCGAATCAGCTATGGAAACTGGCCGCTATTGCGCCCTAATTGCCTAAAGTAATAAAGGAAGCTACTTATATTAAATGCGGAAAGTGAATCTCCAAGGGACATGTCTAACCGCCTCTGGGAGTACTCGGTCGGGGAGCATCCCGATTACTGAGGGGGTGCTTCCGATGGTTCGCTGTGTCTAGGCGAAGACGTCCCGACCGCATGGCCTGGTGGCCCGACTAACTTTCTGAATGGTTCCCAGCCTAGAACGCGCTGCCTACGGAGCCTGGTCGCCCGCCCGAGCCCTGTGAGGCGGTTGGTCCGGGACACACCGGCTGTCGTATCTACCTAGTTTGCCCGAACTGACTAGTTCCTATTCGTGTGGGCAATCGCGCTCCATAGTGGTCGATTGAAGAGAACCGGTTGGCTGCGATCCCCCTGTACTCTCCCGGGAACCGCGGGCGTTGCCCTTTTTGCTAAGTGTTGTATCATGATCACACCTGACCGTCTGGCTTCATCTTCCCGGTTGGGTGTCCGTTTTGGGGGTATCTATCAATGTGTATTATGTTAAGAGTTTATGTATATTACTAGTTCATCTCGTAGATTTTAGAGCAATCTCATTTTTTGAGCTTTTTCATTATTTTTTTACATGCCAAGTATGAGAGAAGAGCGAGAGAAATGGAAAAAAAAAAAAAAACAAAAAAAAAAAAAACAGTAAAAGTAGTATTGACAAAGGAAAAAAATAATTAAAAAATGAGTTTTTTAGGCGTCTAGCCTGGCGCGTGCAC